GTGACTATAATTCGGCTAGCTTTGCTGGTTCTTTAGCAATAGTGAGGAACGGAAAACCATTCACAGATGGCGAGTATGCTAAAACGTTCATGCTGGATGTAGCCAATGAACTTTTTGATGATCTTCCGAACAAAGACAAGATAATCAAACGGATACAAGACATGCCTCTGTCGGCAAGAACTGTTCATGATCGTACCATCGTGATGGCAAACAAAGTGGAGGAAACGCAAGTGAAGGACATAAATGCAGCGCCGTTCTTTTCTCTGGCTTTGGATGAGTCAACAGACGTGAGCCATTTGTCGCAGTTCAGCGTGATTGCAAGATATGCTGTTGGTGACACACTGCGCGAAGAAAGTCTTGCTGTTCTGCCATTAAAAGGGTCCACAAGAGGTGAGGATTTATTCAAGTCTTTCATGGAGTTTGCTCAAGAAAAAAGTCTACCTATGGATAAACTTCTCTCAGTGTGTACTGATGGTGCTCCGTGTATGGTGGGGAAAAACAAAGGATTTGTGGCGCTTCTCCGTGAACATGAAAATAGACCCATCCTAAGTTTCCATTGCATTATACACCAGGAGGCACTTTGTGCTCAGATGTGTGACAGGCAGTTTGGCGAAGTGATGTCGCTGGTCATTCGTGTGATCAACTTTATTGTTGCCCGAGCCTTAAATGATCGCCAGTTTAAAACACTGCTGGATGAAGTTGTAAATAACTATCCTGGTCTGCTTTTGCACAGCAATGTGCGTTGGTTGTCAAGAGGGAAGGTGCTTAGCCGTTTTGCGGCTTGCCTGAACGAAATCCGGACTTTCCTTGAAATGAAAGGCGTCGGGCATCCTGAGCTAGCCGACACCGAGTGGCTCCTCAAGTTTTACTATCTCGTAGATCTGACTGAACATCTGAACCAGCTCAACGTGAAAATGCAAGGCATTGGAAATACAGTGTTATCCCTTCAACAAGCTGTATTTGCTTTTGAAAACAAGCTGGAGCTTTTCATCACGGATCTTGAAACAGGTCGTTTACTACATTTTGAAAAACTGAGCCAATTTAAAGATGCATGCACAGCAAGTGAGCCCATTCAAAACCTTGATCTCCACCAGCTAGCTGGCTGCACATCCAGTCTCCTACAGTCCTTCAAAGCACGCTTTGGAGAATTTCGTGAGCACACTCGTCTTTTTAAGTTCATCACCCATCCAAACGAGTGTTCACTGAACACAGCCGACCTGAATTACATCCCTGGTGTCTCCGTCAGAGATTTTGAAGCAGAAGTGGCTGACCTGAAGGCCTCAGACATGTGGGTGAATAAGTTCAAGTCACTGAATGAAGATTTGGAAAGAATCACACGACAGAAAGCGGAGTTGGCGAGCAAGCACATGTGGACAGAAATGAAAAAACTCCAACCCGAAGACCAGCTGATTCTCAAACTTGGAACGCGCTTCCTGTCACATACCACACACTGCAGCGTGTGAGTATTGCTGTATTGACCATGTTTGGATCTACGTATGCATGTGAGCAGTCATTCTCACATCTTAAAAACATCAAGTCCAACCTACGATCACGTTTAACGGATGAAAGCCTCAACGCTTGCATGAAGCTTAACCTCACCAAGTACCAACCCGACTACAAAGACATCAGCAAATCCATGCAGCACCAGAAGTCGCATTAATGGTGAGTGTTATAACAACATTATTTAAAAGAATAAATTCAGAGGCTTATTATACTGACATTTAGTTGAATTCACTTTAAAAATATATATTATATGGCTCTCACTGAAATAAATTTCCAATTTTTTTGCTTTCATGGCTCTCTTAGTCAAAAAGGTTCCCGACCCCTGGCCTAATCTCTCAAATCGCCTGCTCCGTGCGAACGAGTTACGCAAGTAATCAATTAATTCAAGTCAGCGTTGATGTGGGAGCAGGCGCAGCGCCATTGACGTACGAAGTTGTGAATGAAACCGTTCTAGCCCCGCCCACTTTCCCCCCCGTCCAGTAGCATTCCACGGAACGCTCCCCTCCCCCCACTCCCCCCCTTCCCTTGCTCCTCCCCCCTCTCTCACCTATATAACCCCTGACCACAGCATCTCCAGCTAAAAACATTTCTTGCTGTAGTTTTCACACCTGATGATGATTGCTTGTGTTGCAAATCGAAACGTCGTGAGAAATTGTATTATTATTATGTTTTATTCGTATTACTTCATTATTTCCCTTCTACGTGACTTTACCGAAAGAACCAAGAATAATAAAACCGTTGTTTAAGAAAAAAAAAAAAACTTTTTTTTAAGGAGTTTATTATTGATTTCTTTTGCCAGGTGTCAGAGCACCACTGAGCTATATACCGTGGAGCTCTTGATGAAAGGGGGCTTCAACGTCGTCGTCGTCGCCATCGTCAAGTGGGAATGTATATTCTTAGCTCTTTCGGTAAAGTCACCACGTTGAAGGGAAACAATAAAATAATAAAAAATATATATGAAACAATAAAAATTCTCACGACGTTTCGACCATAACACAAACGGTCGTCATCAGGTGTGAAAAACCAACGGCAAGAAACATTTGAAAGAAGTGGCGGTTTGTGTTATGGTCGAAACGGCGTGGGAATTTGTATTGTTTTATATATATTTTATTATTTTACTGTTTCCCTTCAACGTGACTTTATCGAAAGAGCTAAGAATATGAATTACTGCAGTCACGAAAGCTTTAAATCTAAATTTAAGTGGGAATGTGTCGCAGCAGACAAACACGGCACTCTAAACGCGCGATGTTCATTCTAAATGTGGATGGTGGAGGCTGGGGGGGGGGGGGGGGAACCCGGAGGATCCGGAGGGAAAACAAAATACAGATCGTCGCGCTTGCGAGGCGTTCACTCTTCTGTTCGACGTTTCAGTACAGGAACCCCCCCCCCGAGGGTCAGTCTCAACAACGATGCGCCCGTGACGCAGTTGTCTGATTTTGCGCCGATTTATAAAGCAGAACCCTCTCTTAACGATCACCTCTGTTAACGACCAATCGCTTAACACTACACTATACACTACACTATACACTACACTATACACTACACTATACACTACACTATACACTACACTATACACTACACTATAAAGCAGAACCCCTCTTAACGATCACCTCTGTTAACGACCAATCGCTTAACACTACACTATACACTACACTA